TAAATTCAAAAGATAACGAAAAAACAGCTACAAGTTAGAGGGAATAGTGATAAAGTGGTAAAACTTGGCATTGATCCACAGCCTCAGACGGATGCGCTCAAGCGTGCCGTGCGCACAAGCTCAGTTGGTAAGATACTATATTTTCACATTTTTAACAATACAATTTAAAAGTTTTGATTTTTATTGATAACCTACATTTACCAACAACAAAAAGACTACATTTAGCACCAAAAAAATATGTAAAGAAAAAAAAAAAAAACGAATATCAAATACCAAATTTTCATAACGAATACCTACCCATAGAAACGAATATTCGAATATCCGAATATCCGAATACTTAGGTACAGCCCTAGTTTTTAGTTAGGCCTGCTAATTTTTATTGTCTTTTATTTTATTTTATTTGTCTTTTATGGTTTTATTGCATAAAAAATATATTTTGTAATTATGTTTTTGAATTACTGACATAGCCTGATAGCCTATAGAAAGAGGCTAAGACAGAGAAATGCATTAAGGAGGAAGAGGAGAGAGACTGATGATGTCACGTTATTGGAGGACATGTTTAAATATCACAATGTCTTAAAAAAAAGAATGAATATAAGTCTAGTTTATTTTATAATAAAAATTAATAATAATAATAAATAAATATTATTAATAATAAATAAATTTTTCCCTGCCTATTTGTTTGGCTGACAGTTTATTTTATCACTGAGGTTACCCTGATTTGACATAAAGTGAAAACAATACAAGTAGCTTTGCAAGTAGCAAGATACTTTGCCATTTTCTTGTAGCTTAGCTTGCTACATTTCTTTGGGGATAGCGTCAATGTAGTGAACCTTCATTTTGACGTATCACTACATTTTCCAAGTAGCTTGCCCGCCCAACACTGCCTGCAACTGCACTTCTGGAGCAAAAGAGGCACAGTCCTGATAGCCACTAGCTTGCCAACCCCTATCAATGAGCTAAAGAGTCCATTGTTTGTAGTTTAACCCCCCAACACACACCCCAATCTTGGGCTGCTACTATAAAGGTACTATAATTCTACATATATTTTCTCATATATATTAGCCCATTTAATCCCACTGGTAACAACAGTGACCGCAAAAATAGTTTTCAGTTATGAGCCTCTAAAAATGTTACCGAATGATGTATCAATGCATTTCCAGCAAATTAAATATGTGTAGTGTCCCATGTTTAGTGTAAATTGTCACATGACCAGAGCTGTTTACTTCCTTGTTGCACCATGAGACAAGGATGACTGCATCAAAGCTCCAAAACAAAAGGTTACGAAAGTATGTTAACGTAAAGATAGGATAGAAGTTTTTGGTACACATTATCTTTAAGGTGTCTACCACTGATATGCGCATTTGCAATAACTCAGCTTTGTTCAGTGGGGTCACAGAATTAATGAGCATGGTGACCTCAATGATAGTGACCAGTGGGATAACACAGCGCATCTAAATGAACATGTACTTAAACATGGATATGTGGTACCTAGGTGACAGACTATGTAACCTTTGCTGTTGCTATGATATGCCGCTGGTTGGCTGGGTGGCACCTATCAGGGCAGTATGATTCGCTGCTGGACCTGGTCAGGTTGAAATGCTGCTGGTAACGACGTAATATAAGGAGCAGAGGTCAGGTTGAAATGCTGCTGGTAACGACGTAATATAAGGAGCAGAGGTCAGGTTGAAATGCTGCTGGTAACGATGTCATATAAGGAGCAGGGGTCAGGTTGAAATGCTGCTGGTAACGATGTCATATAAGGAGCAGGGGTCAGGTTGAAATGCTGCTGTAATGACGTAAGATAAGGACCAGGGGTCAGGTTGAAATCCTGCTGGTAATGACCTAATATAAGAAGCAGGAAAGTCTGTATAGAGTGGATAGGAGGGGTGGTGGATGGGTCCAACAAACCGCGGACTTTCACCCAGGAGCCTAGCGTTCCCTTACCGAATGCCAAACCAAGATGTTTTTTCTAAACCTAACCGTGCTTTTGTTGATGTCACGGTATTGGTAGCACGTCCTAGAATTTTATCAATAGATGCAGAGGGATACCTAGCACGTCATATGTGAATGTAAAAGGCCATTGACAAAGTGTTGAAATATGTATAAGGGATTTGGTATGTAAATTAGTCACTCTAGAATGTGATAGAGCATTCTAGTGGCAATGTTGGGGACTGCCAGTGAGTTTTAATTGTTTTAATAACTGAGTTGGTATATATATATATATATATATATATATGTATGTGTGTATGTATATATAAGAATTTTGACTGCATAGGAGAGTATGTTACTTGTAATAAATGGTAGATGCAACACATTATCCCATCTGTCACAATTGTGACCTACTATAAAAAACACGTTTTCACCTACTTTTCCATGAAAATTAAAAAACTAATAATGACTGATTATGTCAAATGGTAATCAGTGACAGATGATTTGGATAGTTTTGTGTCTGGGAAAATTTTAAGATTAAACGGGTTAAGGTGTTACTTACTTTAATAAGATATGTCTTTTTTTCATATTCCAATTCCAATGTCTGAATATTCTTAAAAATTGAAGGTTCATTGTTCTTTGAAAGGGTGGACTTGCATTATTATGCTGTTATATTATTTTTATATCAGTGGCATAAAATGGTCTCAATATCATTTATCACAATAATTTCTGGGACAATGTAGCATCCAACAAAAGTGGTTATCCAGACAGGCCTAATTACCATTAAACTCACTGTTGTGTTTTTGGCCATTAAATCTCAAGAACTACACACACAATCCTGTAAAAATCAAATACATTTTACAGCTTCATATGCTTATAAAAATCCTTCATTTTACATTATTAAAAACACTTTGTCACCAAAGGATATTTTTCTTGTGAGGCCAGAAATAAAACTGCTTGACCTATGAGCCTCACACATAAACGGTGCCCACGCACAATTTTGTTTTACTGCATTTAAGACTTGCTTCTCTTTTGTCCAGAAACAGGCAACAGGCTGGGCAGCACAAGGAAACCTTTACAAGGAATTTTCCTTCCATTACCTGGGACCTAGCCTGTACAATGTGTGGCTGGGACAATACTGTAGAAGCATTTTCCCTATTGAGGCATTTGATCTTGGCAGAATATTCATGGTCTGCGATCAGTAAACAGACTAGAAGGCTAAAATGTGTGTTTGAAGGCACAGTGATTTACTTTGGACCTATTACATTACAAGTATTTTCACATATATCATTAAACATTTTCACACTTGTGTAGGCTGAGTAGGCTCTTTTCACACCAGACTTCATGAGTTGGGTTTCCATTCAAATGTAGCGCAAACAATTCTTAACAAAATGCTTAGAAAATCGGCAAATGAGAATATATAAATTTATGAGCTTTTCCATCCGCTACTGTTATGCTAATATTGGGAGTTGATTCATTGAGTTCAGCAGTTGGTGGTGCTAATTCTCCATTCAGATGCCATTATACAAATACAGAAGAAGAGGATACAACAAAGGAAAATAACTGATGTATAATAACAGAGAGCAAACTGGAAATAGAGAGTTCTGAACAACTAATGTTTCATGTATGTGCTCCTGGAAGAGTTCTGGTAACTACTCTATGTGCATTAGCGCGTTTAAAGACTCCAGAGACGATGAAGAGAGCTTGCAGTGGCTTGCCAAATGACGGTAAGTCATCCTTAAGTCACTGAATCTGTCTGTATTGCACTTAGTCGCATTGGTAACACTTTACTTGAAGATATCTACATAAGGGTGACATGACACGGTCATGAACTTGTCATAAACATTATGTACATGTCATAAACATTTATGACTGCTGTCATTAAGTGTCATTCAGTTTTTGTAATGACAAGTTGACATTGTTTGGGTTGTCTTGATTATGACAACTTGACATTAATCAAAGTGACATTACCAGAAGTTGTCTTTGTCATGACAAGTTGACATTAAATTTGTTTGGAATGTCCTGGGATGTCCTTATAATGACAACTTGACATTAACATAAAGACATCTTCTGGTAATGTCATCCTGGTCAATGTCATGGCAATCAAGACAACCCAAACAATGTCATCTAGTTATTACAAAAACCAAAAGACACTTAATGACAGCAGTCATAAACGTTTATGACATGTACATAATGTTCATGACAGGTTCATGACCATGTCATAGTTATGACAGTGTCATGTCACTCGTATGTAGATACCTTCAAGTAAAGTGTTACCGTTGCATTTTTCAAAACACCAACCTTTCCAGCTCCCCAAGGGTAAAAATGTCTTTTGAAATATTTTGAGATTTTTCTTTTTTTTTTTTTGGTGTTTCTACTTTTTAAGCACAAATTACAAATGCATAAAAAAACAGGTGGATGGAGATGCACCTATAATAAGAAAAGCACAGGAGTTCCTATAACATTAATGATGGATACTTTTTATTAAACTGTCCCAGTAAGACTTGACAGTGTGACAGTGTGACAGTCAGACAGCATGCACAACACCAAGACCCTCAAACCTAATCAACTTAATGGAATTCAGGTGTTATTAATTTTACTCTTTACACCTTTGCTTTTGACAATGTAGACTGAATAAAAGAAAAAAATATATAACTGATTAGGTTGTGTGAACTTCCTTTATACTTTCGGAGTACCGTGACATGTCACAATGACTTAAGTTGAAAAAGCCCATCATGATTATTATGTCTGGTAGTTACGACCACATCAAACCCCTGCTTGCTCTGTTAGGAATACATCTCACAGGGCAGCCCATTATAAAGTATGCTTGTGTTTGAGCAACAAGTCCGAAAAGTCCTCACTTGCTCAAGTTCATTAAGTTCTTACTCATTAATTTCTTAACCATTAAGAACTTGCTCAAGTTTATGAAGTTCTTACTCATTAATTTCTCAACTATTCACTCTTTGTGCTCTATAAAAACTCTGCATTAAACTAAAAGGAATAAAGATTGAAGAAAGCCAGTCATGCAATTCCCAGCTTGCAACAGTTATTTCAGTTTCCCTTCTTACCTTGATGCCGACATAGTCTATAGGGATGATTGGTTTCTCCAGCGAGGGCAGGCTGGCCTCATCCAAAGGCTCGCCCACCATCACTTTGGTTGCCACGTTGATAAAGTCCACACCGATTGTTTTTGACACAAAAGGGAAGGAGCGTGATGCCCGCAGATTACACTCTATCACCTAAAGGAGTGCACGACAAAAATGCTGACATTTCAAAAAAGCAAAATAGATTTCTGCAGACATATGTAAATTACCAAAGCACAAACACACTGTACAAATGAGTGTATACATGCACATCTCCTGTATATGTGCTGTAGCACTGATCATAAAATCCATCCAACTCAGAAATAATTCTGAACACAAGGTGATTTCAATTTGTGGCTGAATCCCATTTGCAGCAACCAGGTGTGAAAAAGCTGATCTATCATTTAGTCATACCCCCTGAAATATTACCTACCATGACATCATTGCCTTTAACCAGAAATTGAGTGTTAAAGGGCCCCGAAATTTCAAATGCTTGTGCAATTTTCCGGGTGGCAATCTTAACCTGAGAGCAATAAAAAAAGAACACACGGATATAATATTTATGAGGATGTCTTGAACAATTTCATCCCATAATATCTATATATACATAAATGGGGAAGCAATTTTATGCATAATGTACATTGTGGTTTAAATGCACGCAGCAAATGAGGGAAACTGCTGGATTGCGGTGGAATATCAATTGGCTCGTTAAGAAAAAATAATAGTACAATTCGTATGGTTTAAGTGTGAATGCTGAGGATAACTGACCTTTTCTAGCGCCCCCTGGCTAATAGTCTGGGTTGGGAGCATAAGGGTAGCATCTCCTGAGTGTACCCCCGCATCTTCCACATGCTCTGTTATGGCGTGAACCAGAACCTGGGCACAGACACACAGTGATTATGTCAGACTTAAGGCATTTGCATGCAGATCATCGCTCTAATAAGCGACAGAAATCCCTACTCAAGGCAATTCAACTTTTACAGCCTTGTTCTCTGTTGATGAGAATTTTTCACACTTAAAGGCAGATGGCCTCCAGACTTGATTTTATACCTACAGTATTTCACAGTGCAAAACAGTATATGAAAATGCAGTGTCAACATATGGTGAGCCAGTTTAGAAACAGCGATTGCCGAGATGTGCAGTTGGAGGAAACGAGTAAATTCAGCTCAGGACAAAAGAACTGTATTTGTGAACGAACTACATATAAAACAATGTACGCGGATACGCAGTGTCAAAAGAATAACTTCCAACATTTCACCCACAGGAAACGAGATTTGTATCACCAAGCAACTCCGCGTGAGTGCGTATGTGTGTGTGTCTGTAAATGAGCTGCCGTGTCATTAGCTCATTTAAACTGCTGCTAACCACAGCATTCATTAGCACTCTTCAGATAGAGCCTGTAATTAATACGTATTATCTCTGACTTTTCCACTCTCCCACACATATATTCATACACACACTTACACACACTCACAGTCTGGCCAGGAATAATGAGGCCTGTTTGGTATTCAATGAATGGACAGCTTGTTAATGTGATACTGAAGATAAAGAAGAGGCTGTATTCAGGGAAAGTAGAGAGAGAAAATCTACCATACAACTGGATTGCCCACGTTCCAACTGAAACCCTTGAAATGACTCCCACAGCCTAAACAATAGAAAAACCGACAGGGCGTTCAGGACAAGTACCTAGGTGGCTCTGTCGCAGAATGCAACTTACAATGCTAACAATTATGCAGTTGCATTAGTTTTCAAAACCAACTTACTGTTAAGGGACTGTTAATGCAAAACTTTAACGTACAGGAAGCAGCAGTCCGTGACGTTCCGTGTGTCTCGGGAATCAGGTTAAAATGTAATTTTGCAATTTACTTTTTCAGTGTCCTCCCTATATTTCCATACAACTATTTCTCTTACCAATTTCCCCACAGAAAGAAACAGAATATGTCTTCAATAGCATATGTGACAAAAGTGTATGCAGACTAATTTGAAGATTCCTTCCAGACAATCATCATTAATGTCTGATGGTTTTCCCACCAAAAAAAAAAAAATCAATTACCTTATCAAAATGTCTTAAAATTACATCCACTCTTACTGATAAAACCAGAATCTATAAATATGCAAATATTGTTATTTAGAAAGTGTAATTGCTGGCCACGAGATACCTCCTACTTCACTGAAAAGTCCATTCTCAGTGTTGGTCAACTGGAGGTTTCAAGTTTCCACATCATATTTATGTAAGTTGCACACTGGACCACGATTGGTTGCCATACTGGTTGTTATGTAACAAAATGCTGCTCATACATTCTCTTGTGAAACAAAGAGATTTAAGGTGAGTATGATGAAACTTTAATTTTAAAACAACCTTCCACTGTCAAGAAAAGTTCTCAGTCAAGTCTCTGTTTGCAGTTTATGTACAACACTGATTACAGTCAGTGTTACAGGCACCTCGTGGGCTGAAGACAACAGGATGGCAAATAACATGCAAACTGCAAAAAGTAAACTGCCTGTCTGAACTTACTGATACTTTGAATCCCAGAAGTTATCGTCTCACATCCCATTCACTATTCAACTTTAGGCTGACAGTAACATTCCATGTCTGGCTCATAGCTGAGCCAAAGGGTTCTGGGAACTGATCAGACTTAAAAAAATCTCCCGATGCCAAGTTGTATCTGAGCTTCATTTGAGTTACCAGAGTAGCAAACCATGTTTCCATTGCATAAGAACCTTATGGGATATAAATGATTGTTCCAGGTATTAGTCAAACCCTGAGGTGTTACCAGGGAAATCGAGTTACGGCTTGTGAAAAAACTGAGTTTCTGATTGCAAAAATTGAGCATAGCGTTAGCTCAGGCAGGACACGATGTCAAGCTCAGCTCACAGCCCACCTACATCAGCTGATCTCAAACAGCCCAATCAACTGATGGAGCAGCTGATTGATGGAAGGAAGTCAGATGATTCCTTTTCATGCAACCAGTTGGCAAATCTCATTCAGGGCGCCCTATCTTAACTGCTCTGGCCTGCCTACTGTTGCTGCTTCCTTTGCAAGCCGCTTTGCACCCACCTCCACCCCAGCTCCTCCTTTTCATTGTTGGGATTCACAGGACCACAGATGATTTATCATTTGGTAAAATCTAAACTGTAGATTTAAAGGCTTTTTCTCTGCATGCTCTTTGTTCTCCAAACAAAGACAGCTAGGACACCCATCTCCACAGGAGGTCTCACCTCACACCTCAGTGAGACTCAAGTCCCAAACTTGATTGGACAAGACCTTATACAGTGACATGTCACTCTATGATGTCGCAGGCACCGGTACAAAGATCTGCTCCCTTCCATAGAACTTCCTCTTCTCTGCTCTAACCGTGGAGCAGTGCTCTTCGCTCCAGCTGCTGTAGGAGCTGCACACCTCTTCCCGTTTGGGCCTGGGACAGCAGAGGCCCGAACCCCTGCTCCATAGCCCAAACCACTAAAGGGAGGGCAACTGATCACAGACTCTCTGGCAAACACAAGGTTTGCAAACCAGCTTTCCAGCAACAAGGAACTAAGTGAGTTAGCACCCAGCGTCTAACTCTGCGAAACCCTGAGCGACCAGCTTCCTCTGAGTTTCATCTTTGGAACAAAGGACCCAACAAAGACTGCAGCTGAAACCACACCTTCCCAGCCTTCTTCTGCCGGCTAACAAAGCAGCACAAACGAGTGACTCTTTCCTCCATCCATCAAGGATCGGTAATGTAACAACTGGGCATAGCTTATCACAGCTTTACAGGCTAAGCAAGCTGCTTAATGCTGTTTACTGAGTTACTGTTGTGATAGATTGCAGTTAGGTCATTGGTTAGTTGGCTTCGCCAAAGCCAAGTGTTTAGTTTGCTAATACTGTTCACAAACAGATTCTTGCATGCAACTAAACAATCTCTGCACTAATTCAGACCGTTTGCAATACACGTCACATTGACATAGACTCATTAACAAACAGGCTTTCAACAGAGCTACATCCAAACAGGCATTTCCAAGTTCCCACTATTTTTCCTTTGTCTTCGTCCTGACCACACGGTCAGACGAACACCTCCAACCGAAAGCCAGCCTTGATTCGGCCATTTTGGTAGTTCTCTGTTGTCAGCCATTTTGTTTTGTAGGCCAAACGCCTCCTTGATCACCACACCCGCCCTTGTCTTTCTCTTCTTTCTCTCTCTCACACACACACACACACACACACACACACACACACACACAACACACATATACACACCAAGCTTGTATATAGTTAATTAGTTTTTGTGTTTTGGTTTGCTTTGCTAATTTGTGAATAAATATAATTCTTTGGAATCATGCCTGCTGTCTGTTTAATGTTGCACAAGAGTGAATGAATAGTCAACCTCTGCTGCGTCAAGAACTCCGAAATCCTTCAGGCGTTACTGTTAATTCTGGTTGTTGTCATTAATTTAATTATTAATCAAACTCCAAATTAATAGTTTAGCCTATTTTATGAGACTGATATCTTTAACTGGCTATCATTTTTCCCTTTACGGGAATGGAGCCCCACGAGGTGATTTAATGTTAATTAAGTCACATTATTTAACATAATTATTAATTATTAATAATAATTATTAATTATTTCCAATAGCCAATTAAACCCCAACATATTTGGTACCTCCGTGTGAAGCCTAGTGTGTTGACCCCAACATATTTGGTGCCGCCGTGTGAGGTAATTATATGTTGATTCCCAACATCATGCTGTGTCTGACTTATCAGTGTCATTTCTGTTTGTCATTGATGCTGCTCTGTTCTGTTCTCAGGAGGTCTTTGCTGCTGCTCTTAGGCTCTCCATGTACGTGCACTGAAGGGCAGGGAGGTGTGCTCTCTCTGCCTCAGGCTTTCCTTGTTTGCACCTGGAAGGGCAGAGAGGTCCACTCTCTGCACCTCAGGCTTTCCATGAAGAGCCCTTTTTGCGTAGGCCCAAGGAAGGCAGAGAGGCCCCAGAACAAATCCATACCAACAAATGTAATACTGAGACTAAAGTGGTCCTTACTGAGCTCTTGAAAATATAAATGAATGGTCTTTTTTTCTTTGACAACTGACCATGGTATCAGCAGGATAATGCCCTTGGAGGTGTCTGTAATCCGAAATTAATGCATTCCACAGGGCAACGGCCTGGCCTCCTCATCTGCCAATAATTCCTGATAATGGACACTTAGGGGGGCATTATCCCTTGAGTATACTATACCATGCCTATGTAATACAATCTGATTTTTACAACATTACAAAAACTGTATTCTCGTGTTTTATATTCTAATAATTATTTCATAATAATTATGTGGAATAAATCAAGTTGATCAATATGGTAGTATATGTACAGTACATGTATAATGGAGCAACACAAAGCAGAAGAATACTAGAGAAAGCAAACCAAAGAAAATGACAACGCTGCGGTGCACGTCAATCAGATATGAAAACAGTTTGTTGAACAAGAATCATTTCAATATGCCCTAAACTGATTTAATCTTAAAAAGAAAAATTCATTTAGTATCACCACTTTGCTGCATTTTGGTTTTTAATGTATTCCATTCTCCCAATCAGATCTGTCTGGGCTGTAATGTCTTTCCACCGAAGATGAATGAGATTACTTCCACTTTATTCATCTACTGGGCTCAATATCTGTCCTACCTCTCCATTTAAACTGAAAAATAATAGAGGACTGAATAATGCCGGGCTACAGAGATGAATAACAATCATACTGTTATAAATGAAAATATGGTCAAATAGGGTGTCAATATGAATAAAAGCGGACAACAAATAATGTTGTTTTCTAGGCTGCTGCGCTGTGCAACATTATGTTACATTATGTGGAGGATGTATACTCTCCTAACAAGTAGTATTAGAAATATAACTCATTCTGTACTAAGCATCTGATGCTTTGAGTAATAATTGCAGACAGAAAGTAATAATACGTCAACACAGTGGCATTAAGGCGAATAAGAAGGCTCAAATAACTAGACAGAACATGTCAGTAATGTCTCACCTTGCCACCTTTGGCTACAGCATCCACCTCTACTTCCCTGGCACCGCGGATGAACTTGGTAATGACTACTGGGTGCTCCTGGAGGAAAGACAGCAGGATGGTTATTCTATCAATAAATCAAAAGGAAAATAATGCAGTCTCAACAGGGTTGTTGCCTTTTGTGTGTATTGCAGTCTGCAGGATGTTAGTTAGTGATGATCTTGTTACTTTGGCTCTGGGGTCCAACACACTGGATCTGAAGCGAAAACTCAAAGTAAACTTTATTAAGAGTGTTCACATTAATACAGAACAATCTTTGTTGCTCAGCTAAAGCACCCAATAGGGATACAGAATTTAAATGTTCTTGGCTAGTCAAGTATGTTAACTGAATGAACGCAGAGCACTGACAGAAGGCTTCATCCATGTTTGTATACTAATTCAACGTTGAGCATAAATGAGTCCTCAGCCTGTGATTCACTTACTCAAGGCTGTAGGCAACAAAAAAAACAAGCAAAAAGTGAAGATGGTTGCAGTCAGTACAGACTGGGCAAATTATCTTCAGGGAAGCACCTGCTGATGTTTATGGGTCATAGACTTCAAACAGATGGTCATTTATTGCGAAGGATTTGACACCAAATCTTAATTATGATAACTTTTTCAAGTTTATGGTACTTTGTCAAATTACATTCAATGTTCTAAAATTAGGACTTTGGATTAAAAATTGATACAAGTGAATTAAAGCTGAAGATCGTCAATTTAACCTGATGGTCACTGTTTCATGCTGGATCTAATGTGCTGGAGTACAGAGCCAACAAAAGCAAATGTGTCACTGTAGGCATGGGACAATGCAAATTTCACGTCACAATCATCCTAGCCAGAACAACTGCAAATCACAATATTATCTTGATAATCATCAAAATATGCTTGAAACTCTTTAAATGGCTTAAAACATACTGCAGTCACTTTACATTTTGTCAAGAAACAAATATTTTTAATGCATCGCAGAACGGGTACACACCTTTTTTAAGTGAGGATTTTAAGTGGAAAAAAATAAAAATCAATCAAACAGACTTCCAGAGTTTCCAGACTTTTTGTCTATTGGAAATGGCAACATATCTTTTAATATGAGATATGCCAAATGCTGATTGAGATCTTTTGCATTTCTTTAGTTTGGTGCATATGCAGCCTGTAAATGCAGACTCTATTATTGGTTGCCCAGCAGTTTCTTGGGTACTGCTGGACACAAGGGTGTCAATATAGACAGTGCAGGCAGTGTGGTTGCACTGGGGCCAATGGGGTGGGGGCCCATAGAGAGAGTGGTTGGAGGGCCCGCTCTCTCTCAGGCCCCTGCAAGTGGTTCAACTTGCCACTTCAGAAATATGCCTATGTTCAAGGAAGAACACAGGTTAAAATGCAAATGCTGTTATCTGCTATGTATGCCCTCAAAATTATATGTTCATTTTACATAAACTATAGATTAACTATTCAAAAATCAATTTAATTAATAATTTATTTTGTTTGGTAGTTTTGTCATATACAGATTTGCAGTGATGATTGGTTATGTATGTTAATGTTGTCTAGTGTCATGTGACAATACTATAGAATTCTAAAATATATGGAAGCTGTTTTAACGCAAAATCTGGCACTAGGGCCCATGATTATAGTGTGCACTGGGGCCCATCCTGACTACGGTGTGCCACTGACTGGACATGATATTTACAATTATTCCGATAATGGAAATTATCCACAATCAACTTAAGTGTTTCCTACAGAATTAGAATCTATGTGTGGCAGTAGCTGATGGGCGGTGAGCAAACTCTCTCTGTGTCTCCTCTCTAAATTCAGAGTGTTTGAATTTGAGTTGTGGGGTTAAGAATTGATCAGTCAGTCATTTTGTGGTTGCATAAATCAGAGCTGATCAGATGGTTAAGAAAAGCAGCTGCTGCGGAGCTGAGTGAAAGCAAACTTCTGGACCCTGCACTGGACAGGGACACTCTGAGAGTGTGGTGCTCTGAATAACGAAATGGTATATATATTCCCACAGCGCTTCTCATGAGCGGTCCAGCTCCAAAAATAGACAATCGTTGTGTGGCGGGAGATGTGAATAAAGTTGCAGTCCGCCACAAATAAGTGAATGTGTGGGAAACCTTGTCAGCCCATTTATGTGTCACTGTTCAAATACCTCAAACACTTTAGTGTGACGCAAGAATATTTCATTAAGACTCTGTGTAAACCTTTTAATCCATCTGTAACAGGCTTACTTTGCTGCTTTCAAGGTGGGATTTGGGCATGTGTGTGTATGCTTATAGCCCCAGGCAGGGGCCCTAAGAGGGACCAGGTGCCCCAAAGCCACCTGGGGGTTCAGTGAAGTAGAGATGCACACAAAGTACTAGCCAACAGCCATGACAGCTGGTAGCATCAGTTAATTGAAAGCAGAGGGAGACAGCAACACAAAATAAGAATCAGAGTCTATGTGTATGTGTTACGGAGAGACTGATCACTTGTCCTAAGATGCTCAAGCAATACAATTCAGGACCAGTGAAAAACAAAACGCCAAGGTGTGACTTATGGAGGCAATATGTCTCTCTCACATGTGCAGCCACACACATGCAGAGTTAACACCGATCTCACCTGGGACACCTGAGTGGCCTCCTCCAAGAAGCGTTTCATCTCCTCTTCTCCGTACGCAACGTTCATGGCAGAACCACTGGCGAGATACAAGCAGGAGAGGGAGAGAAAAGAGAGTGAGGGAGAGAAAACAAAAGGCCACAGGAGAGGAAGAGACGCAAGCAAACAGGAGAACATACAAGCTTCAAATGATCGTTCAAAACACTCATTATCTCTCCGTTGCATCAGTATTACCATTGGGAACAAGGTCTGGAAACAGTCAAAATAAGGAGAGAGGGAGAGAGAGAAGAACAGCTATTTAGGTCGAAAAGCACTCCGGGCTCTCGAAAAAGAGTTCAGAACTTAGTCATTAAAAAACAACAGATTTAGGCTAGTTTTGTTGTGGTTGTTGTTTTTGATTTTAGACTGCTAGCTGGGCTATCCTCCTGTTTGAAAATGAGGGGTTGAGGGAAACAGGACAGAGAAAGGCCACAGGCTTGGGTCAGATCTTTATTCTTTAGCTGTCTGTTGCTCAGAGGCAAACATATGTCCAACCCCAAAATGAATACTGACCCTTCATTCAAGCACCAGCCATAGAGGATTCATATGCATTTACATTCAGACATATCCTTGACTCGAATGCCACCTAGTTTCTGCATGACTGTTCTCTCAATTTTCAAATGAATCCAGTCATTTAGAGGAAATGTCTTCTAACTAAAATTGAATGATTCTCTGTCTGTCAATTGTCTCAGTAACTTTTCATCCAATTGACTTCACACTTGACGAATGTATTGCTGAGGACCAAGGAAGTGCAGTGCAAGCACTTGGGATGATGGGACATATTTGTTAGTGCATTATTTCCACACTGTGTGTAGGGTTTTCAAGATACATATTGATTATGAATATTTGAAACTGTTTCAACACTCAAGTCAGCAGTATCATAACATCTGTGCCAGCTGCGCTTTCTCGCTTATTTTGCTGTTCTCTGCTACTCACCAAGGCAAGAAAAAAGTTGTCATGCTAAAGCCTTGTTATATTTATCTTTTAATAAAAAATAAATACATGTAATTCCCTCAATGTCAATTTTGATGTAAAATTTATGATAATTTAATTTAAAAAAAACTTCATGGGGAACCTATTTGTCACCATTTGGGTGTGGGAATTACAAGTGTGTGACACATCGAAAGCCCTGATTGGCAGCCGGTGTGAAGGAGAAAGCCATGAGTGGGACAATGGATGGCTTTATTGTACAGAGCAAATTACAACAAAGCACCAGCGAAGATGACCTACCACCAAAAGAAAACTGAAAAAAAAAAAAAATGTCAATAGATAGTATCACGAAAGCTACCTGTCTCTCTCTCTTAGTTTTTTTATTGTCTTATGTCATGGGAAGATATAAATAGATAGATATAAATACAGTTGTGCCTTGTGATACTGGCTTGAAAACTGGTGTAGCGTATTAAGAGGTGACCTCTATTCACTGCTCAGTCCCTCCAGAAAATTGCAGAAAATTGCGATCGCAATAATTAACGCAAATTCAACAAAAGTCCGCAACATTTGCAGGGGCTTGCAATTTTTTAAAAGTCCCACGATTTTTCCGCATTTTCTGGCCAATCGGAAGTCGCTGCGCATGCAATGTCATTTGAAACATTATCAGACACGTCATCAAATGCGCTAATGGCATTGCAGTATGGTGAAACGCCCTGTATTGACATAAGAATTTGCACTGTTTAAATGCATACAATATGTGTTGAATGTATTAAAATGTTATGTTTACGGAAGATGTAGCTTACATGTTGTTTTACAGTCACATTGTCTGGTTTGAGAGCTACAATATTCACACAGGATTTTTTGCAGCATTATTGGAGTCCATGTTTTGAAACTAATTAATTAAAACTAAAGGAGAGAACTATAAAAAACATTTACAGCTATTTTTGTAATATTCAGTATGGTTATCATAGCAAGTGATTTCATGACTTATTTTTTTGGAGGTAGTAATTGAAAAAAAAAAAAAAAAATCACATTTTTTTTTCTCATTTTGTCATTGGCCGCAATTTTTGTCATTTGCCGCAATTTCCCGCACAAAATTCACATAAAAAAGCTGCAATTTTTATCACAATTTTTGACAAAATTGTCCGCAAATTCAAGTTTTTTTTGCCGCGAGATCCTGTCACTTACAGTACATTCAACAGTACATTCAACAACAGATGATGAAAGGGAGACCAGAAATGTTACATTGTAGCACTCAAACATTTCAAGCATCAGTGGTGGGTCTTTCAGAAATAGGCTAATCCCAAATAGCTAGCTGTTAGCACATGATGCGTATATTGCCAAGGAACTGGGAGTGGCAGTGTCAAGTGTAAAGTTGGTTTGAGCGGTTCTCAAGAAAGCTGCAAGCAGAAAAACCGTCCAGAAGCCAAGCAGACGGCAAATATGGCAAACATGATACAATTTTGCACCTTATATTGATAAAGGAGCTGTTTGTGACATTCAGAGCATATCAATGATTCAGAGTCAGGCGGGATTGTCTGCACACAGTTCTTGAAATGAAGGTGGCTAAGCTAGCTGCTGACATGTTCACCATGTGTTGGTCCCTGAGAAAAAAAAATGAGTCAGCACTCTATGAAAAGCCTTTTGTGCGAATAAAATGAGTATGCATACATTTTTATTCAGTCCATCAGCCCAGCTCTTACTACTTTATTCAGCATTACCAGTAGTCGTAGTAGTAGATGTATTGGTAGTGGTGCTGACTGTAGTGATGGTTCTAGTTTTAACAGTAGCACTGTTCATCTTACTTTGTTTGCCAAAAAATTGTCACATTTGTATTTTTATAACAGTTGAAAGTGAAAAGTCATGACTTTGGCAATCACTTGAGTGAAGAGTGGGTGTGACACTGTTATCTTAAAGAAGACTTATTACTTGTTCTCTGTAGAGTTTTTCACAAAGGTGAAATTGTGCTGATGCAAATCAAACACTGGATCTAAAATAAGCCTGAGCAGGACTGAGTTAGTTTTTTTGTTGATGATCACATTGCTTTCACTCTGGAATAGCAGGAAATGGCATCTGCCCTAACTCACGACCAGTGGTCAATCTATTTTAAAAAGAAAAGCAAAGGAGCACACATGTTACGCAGTCATTTTTGGTCTGTGTCAACAAATATTATTCACAGGCCCAGTGGTCTAACACATCTGTTCACCACCTCATCCCGATTTCATTTCATCTTCCAACACCTGAAAAAATCCCCAGGGTGAAGGAAAATTCAACAGACATGACAATTCTAAAACAATGGGATCACAATAAATTCACTTGATGGATTTTTATAAAAGTCAGCTAGGTCATTTTTATGCATGGGTTTATTACTTAAGTGGAATGGGGACGTTTCTCACCCACGCAGGCTGGCTTTCACACGGATAGGAATTCCACAGAACTACTGTGCATTTGCATTTCACTCACATTGGGCTTTTGCAGCACTTGTTAACAGTGAAGGAATAAGACACTTTCCAAATGTTTAAGCTATGGACTGACATTTTCGAAGCCATTTACTCATAGGGAGGCCTCTTAGAAACATGGTGAGTCTAGAAACTAGTTTGAAAATTATGTGATTGCTTGTGCATATCATTGCACAGGCATATACAGCAGTGTGGGTATGTCACAGCAAAATACATACCAACAAAAATAGGCAAAATAAGATATAGGTTATACTGTACAAATCTTCCTATTAAGTTATGACATGAAAATATTTCAGAGCAAAAAACTTTGTGAGTTTTGGTGTGTTTCTATGTGTGTATTTTACTGTTATAAAAATAAGGCACATGACTCTGAAGGCAAAGATTGCATGGTGCGGAGATGTGCGAGTTTGTGCATATGTACTGAGGCTGAGAAGAACATTCAAAAACCATTAACAGCTACGTCAAAGGGGATGAGTGAAAACGCTTTGGGGACAGGAAAAGATCAGAGGGAGTTCACCCTACGTTGATGTGGAGAGGAGAGGAGAGGAGAGGAGAGGAGAGGAGAGGAGAGGAGAGGAGAGGAGGCTCATCTTCCTCATTAACAGTATCCAACAGAGATCACTATACAGCAGGTGGAAGAAATTGAAGTCGTAAATAATAAAAAACTCCGTATGATAAATAAAGGCTATATTTTATTAATGGTATAATTGTGGCTACTCCGAGATCACCTGGGAGATTTAAATACCGGTGGATATCCCTTTGCTGAATTAAATTACTTTTTAATTTGGTAGTTTTACATGTGGCCTAGTGCATGACACTCAGTGCTTAACAAGCAGAGACAGAAGCACTTTTAAAACAACATCACAGTTTGCATGTTAAATCATAAAAAAAAAGTCCAAAAACTCCCTAATACACAAGTTTCTACTCAGTGACACAGTCCTGCTGAATACAGGGTCTCACCACGACATCTGCTGGAGAAAAGTGTCACTGCAAAATTAAATGAGCTGTAATCTGAATAAAGTTCATTAATCATTACAACTAAAATTGTACTTTACTCAGTTAGCAGTAAGTCTGTGGATTAGTTAATGAGAAAGTCAATTGATTTTTTTTTTCTTTTATGCTTCAGCCAACCAGGACGGCACTGTTTTCTCCCCTGTGTTTCTAAATACACTTAATTGGCTAGAAATTGAATACAAGAAAACAAATTATGTGAAGATTATTTGCCCTTGTGGTTTATACCAATTTTAGACAAAATACATCAAATGTGTTTGTTATTGATTAAGATTCTACAGTCAGAGTCAGCTACTGCATTCCTCATTTGGAGGCTGCTGATGTGAAATAACTTACCTGAGAACATAGGAGGGGCGCAGCAGACAGGGGTAGCCCACCTGGTTGGCAAAGGTGAAGGCATCTTCCTATGAAGGGAGAGAAAAGCACAGCACATGTAAATGACAAAGACAGAGTTTGTTTTGTCATGATAGTGATGCCAGAAATCTTCCAGAATAATCTGTCACATATTAGAGCCACTTAATAACACAAGTTCTAATGACAAGGCATTGAGATGTTTTGTGTCTCTTTGGCATTAAATGGCAAGTTCAGTATTTTCTAACCTTGACCCTTTTTTTCTGTGTTTTTGTGACGAATGGGAACAACAGTTTATTTTTGTAAATCAGTCCAATATTGAGCGAGAGAACTGCAGCCAGCAGCCCTGACGTGGCTACAATGTAACTATTCGGGGCATGTTCGCACATTCAATATACGTCCACTTAAAGTGCTTGTTTTTGCTACTGACAGGCTCCAATTATTATACTAAGAGTCTGACAATGTATGGAAAGCATCCCTACAAGGATAGAACATTTTATTTAACCAGGAACAGCCCCAAAATTGGCATCGCCAAACCCACTGCAATGTTACTATTTGGGGCATGTTTGCACCTTCAATGTACGTCCACTTTCAATGCTCATTTTTGCTACTGACAGGCTCGGATTATTATTCTAGGTGTCTGACAATGTATGGAAAGCATCCCTACAAGGACAGGATATTTGTTTAACCAGAAAGAGCCCCAAAATTGCCATTACCAAACCCACTGCAATGTAATCATTCAGGGCATGCTCGCACCTTCAACGTACATCCACTTAAAGTACTTGTTTTTGCTACTGACAGGCTCAGATTATTATTCTCAGGGTCTGACAATGTACGACGAAAAAGCATCCCTACAAGGATAGAACATTTAATTTAACCAGAAACAGCCCCGAAATCGGCATAGCCAAACCCACTGCAATGTTATTATTTGGGGCATGTTTTCACCTCCAATGTACGTCAACTTTCAGTGCTCGTTTTTGCCACTGACAGGCTCTGATTATTATTCTGAGAGTCTGACAATGTATGGACAGCATCCCTTCAAGGACAGAATATTTGTTTAACCAGAAAGAGCCACAAAATTGCCATCACCAAACCCACCAGGCTTTATTTACATAAGCAGTCATTTTAGTGTGTATAGAGCCAGCATGTTTTCACATCTAACTTCCTCTTCTTAATTCACTCAGCTTCTCAACTGAGTGAATTAAGGGTTTATTTTTAACAAAACCAGACGGCATTTTTTTAGTTTTTTGTTTCTGTTGACTTTGAATGAAGTGTGTTTTACGATGCTAAAATTACTATTTATATCAATTGAGCCTTGTGGGTTTGGTGAAAGTGATTGTGTTAAACAAAAAGGATCTTACTTTTTAACAAAAAGGTCTATCCCTGTAGGGATCCTTTCCATAAATTAACAATACTTAAAATTATAATCTGAGCCTGTCAGTGGCAAAAACAACTCTCTCACTCTGTGATTCTGAAAAGTTGGTTCTTCTTTATTTGCTAACATTTTTGTCCTGTTACTGCATGTCACTACTCAGCTTCTTCTCCGGAGCCTTTGCGCTCGACTGTCTGGCAGGTCCCTGACAAATCGCGGCTACGCCTGGATCGTGGGTCATGGTTAAGCTACTGTCGTGGTCCTGCCCCATGCCTCTTACTACTGCTGTTATCATTAGTCATACTTCTACTATTATCAAATACATATGGCTGTTATTGTCAAATACATACACTATCATTACTAATATATCCTAATAACATATATGCTACCAAAATACTATTATTATTATAACATTATTACTAAAATTAATGTTACTGTAGCTTTTGTCATTATTATTTGCCCTGCATCTCTTTGCCTCTGTCTCTCTCAAGTTCTCTGTCCCTCTTGGTCTCTCTGTCTCTCCCTCTCTTTATATATCATATGGATTACTGTAAATTCATTATGTTAATCTGTTCTGTACACACAACATCTATTACACGTCTGTCCACCCTGGAAGAGGGATCCTTCCTCAGTTGCTCCTCCTGAGGTTTCTACCATTGTTTATCTCTTGGGTTTTTTTGGGGAGTTTTTCCTTATCCGCTGAGAGGGAATGTAACTACTCTGGCATGTTTGTACCCTGAATGTGTCCACTTAAAGTGCTTGTTTTTGCAACTGACAGGCTCGGATTATTATTGTAAGTGTCTGACTATATATGGAAAGCATCCCTACAAGGACAGAACATTTTTGTTTAGCCAGAGGCAGTCCTAAAAACACCATCACCAAACCCACCAGGCTCCATTTAAATTAATAGTCATTTTAGTGTGTATAGAGCCAGCATGTTTTCACATCTAAGGGTTACTTTCAGCCAAACTAGAAGACATTTGATTTTTTTGTTTCTGACTTTGAATGAAGAGTGTTTTATGCTGATAAAATTACTGTTTATATCAGTTGTGTGTGGTTGGTTTGGCGATGGCTTTTTCGGGGCAGTATCTGTTTAAACAAAAAGGAACTTTATTTTTTTAACAAAGGGGTCAATCCCTGTAGGGATCCTTTCCATTAGTTGAAGATACTTAAAATAACAATCTGAGCCTGTCAGTGGCAAAAACAAGCACTTTTAGTGGAGGGAAATTGACGGTGCACATATGCCCCGCACGGTTATATTGCAGTCTGTTTTGCGACTGCCAGCTGCAGCATTTTAAGCCAATACTGAACCAATTCAAAAAACTTTGTTCCCATGAGTCACTTAGACACAAAAATATGGGAAAATAGGGTCGAGTTTGAAAAACATCATGGATACCCTTTAACTTTAACACAAAGATTCTGCAGGTATCCAGTTTAAATATAAAAGAGTTGTAAAATGTGGTTATAGAGTGAAACACAGGACAAATAAAGAAAAAGTTGTACTGTTGAACTGTTGTAAAAATAAACACATTTGATTGCTCCAAGACTTGCAGTCACTGAGGTACAAATCATTTTGAGGCGACAAAGAAGAAACATCATTCTAACAAACATTAAAAGAACAGACAACAGTCTATAGATCAACAAAAAGTTATTCTTGAAAAAACAAAAACATGTAGCAAAAGAATATTTAAAAAAGCTTTTAAATGAGGACACCAGTTTGTTTGCTTTGTTCTGTATTTCATTTCTTTATGCAACTCTTTGTGTATTTATCATTAAGGCATGTATATAATGTTAGAATGCTGCATGATTAGAGCCACTTGAGACAGAAAACAAAGAATCAATATTAAATCAAGGACGTGTTTGTCCTTGTAACAAACCATCTCATACAGCGAGGCCCATTTTACCCATTCTCAATTAAACTACACACAATTTAAAGGCTTAAAAAATGAAAGGTGTACTCCCATGTCTGCCCAGAACTCGGCTAATCAAAAGAGTAAAAGGGAGAGTAGAAGTGCTCCAACAATCAGAAAGTGGGGCTTCAATTCATCTCCCCTTTTGATTTTCTTTTCTTCACATCAGGAATGAGAGAAGAAAGAGTTGGAGTCATGGAAGGAGTCTTGCGGTGAGAGAAAGGCTGTGTGTCCTCCTCCTCCTCCTCCTCATCATCATTATCATCATCGCTCTTTCTCTGCTCTCCATCTCTCTGCAGGTCTAGCCTCTTTCTCGCTATCATTACCCACTGTTCACTCGCCAGGTGGGATACCATTAACAAACACAAAATAGCTTCCCTGAGACGCAAGAACCATCTCCCCACGGCTCTACTGGAGTTATTCCAGCCCAATAAAAACAAACTGTTTCTTCAAGATCGGCAGGGAAATAGAATATGTAGGTAGATTCTGGAGAGACACAGAACTTTGTGTGTAACGGCTAATCGCTCCTCAGTGGTGGCTGAATACATGAGCAACGGTAATGGAAGAGACATATTTTAGCGCTGACAGCAGACACATTTCAGTGCTCCACATGTTCCACAGAGGGGCCTGCCAGTGCTTTATTCTGATGTAGCCGCCAGCTAGTTGAGAGGGCCAAACACAAGATAAATGCTAAACAAGACAGTAAGTCATGGGGCATGCTGCCCCAACAGTACAAGGAAGAAAGTTCTACCAGCAATGAGACAAGTTTGTCTGTAGGGAAAGGTGTAACGTTGGGCTGTAAGTAAAGATAATATTATGTGCTTGGTTTGGATGTGAAGTGGTCCAAACAAAAAACTAAACACCATTTTGTACATATATGATGTCATATATGATCTGGATTATGCACCAGAAAACAGTCTGAGTTGGGAAAACCTGATATTTTTAAGAAAACCTGACTATAAATTGTTAGTGATGTCTACATTTAGCAGATGTTTTAGTGCTATTACATCATTTTTTGTCTGATATCTTAACAGAATTTGACTGGAACTTTGAAGGAAGAAAATTCTACACAGGCCTAAAATGTCCTGAAAGCTGTGATTCCAAGGTTACACTTTAGTTTTTACAATACAACATGCTTTCGTGTAGGATTCATTGAAAAAAGCAAATTTTAGTCTTTCTTAAAAGGTATAAACTCATACACAGAGATGGGCAAAAATACATCAAAATGTATTTTGATACAAAATACAAAATACCCCTCAAATAAATGTATCAAAATAAAATACATGTATTTTGTATTTTCAAATACAGAAAATACTTTATTCTTTCTCTTTTTAGCAGCGACCCGCAGCTCTATAGATCACTCTGTCGGTCGGTCGGTTGGTCGGTCCACAAAGCATTCGTGTATAACTCAAAAGTCCTTGACCAAAAATGCTCAAAATTTGCATACTGCAACTAGAGACCATGAGTAACTATACCAGAAAGAATGCCCACGATTCGTCCATAGGTGGCGCTATACTAACCGATTCAAAACTTTTTGTGAATAACTCAGAAATCCTTGACCAAAAATGCTCAAAATTTACATGCTGCAATTAGAGACCACAAGTAACTATGCCAGAAAGAACAATCATGATTCATACATTAATGGGCTGTAGGCTACCCTAAAATATTATTTTTTGATTCAGATTTAGATTCAGACAATTTTATTGATCCCACGTGGGACAATTCATTTGTAGGATACTCATCCCAAGCATCAATCACAACAACATACAATTTCCTATGTTATGCACAGTCCAGTAAAACAGACCACTAGGTCACTTAAGGACACATTGAATGGCCCAAGTTTAAAAAAACATATAGATAAAAAAAAATTAAAAAAATTTAAAAAGTAAAAAATATTGTGTAGCCTATTATTTTTGTTTGATTCATGGAGAAAGTATTTTGAGTATTTTAAATACAAAATGACTAAAATCTGAAGTATTTTGTTACAAATTACATTTGCTTTTTATAGGCCTTATCAAATACAAATTCCAAAATACTCAAATGTAATTGAAATACGTATTTTAAATACAAGTAATAGAAATACTGCCCATCCCTGCTCATACAGAAGTAATCTCTCACAATCATCACTTAAGACCCACTAGAAGCGTGCAGTGGTGTACTTTTCTGCAGAGACTCTTTGCTCTGGCTGATTTCTTGTTTTTATTCTCTTCTGATTTTCTGCGTTCAGGCCATTTATGGGTGTGTGGCCCCACAGCTGCGGTTAAGGTTTCATTAAAACAAAGTGAACAGGTGCCACACAGGCATCCAAGAGACGCAGCGCTGAAAAACGCAAATAAGGCAGGGTGAAAAACCACACGAGAGTGAATCTAAGGTTGCCTTTTACGTTCACTTTTTCTGGCCAGCGTGCTTACAAACTGCATAGTAGATTAAAAGGGGAGCACCACCTAAATTAAGAATTCCAATATATTTTTTCAATTTTTGTGAACATGATCTATTCTCCCTCAAAGCCAGAGACCAGAGAAGTAAGTCTCAGACTTGTGATGTCATACGGTATAAAGTCTGGAGCTGCTCCATAGACAATGAATGGGAGCCTGATTTTGCTGAGTTTTCTTTTTTATACCCAAATAAGCTTTATGCTATTGTAGTGTTCTCAGTTCTGAAGTAGAAAACTGTACCCATATACTCAGAACATTCTCCTGGGTGCTCTCAGTGTCATCTAGAACATGTTGCACAATAAATTGTCTATGGAGCAGCTCCAGACTTTATATACTGTCACATCCCAAATTTGCATTTTAGCACTCTAGCTTTTGGATTTTGGGAGACAGTTGCTCAGTTTGTTGTTGTTTGTTTGTGTTTTTGGACTGTCTTAGACCAAAGGAATAATATGTATGAATTTTGAAAATGGGCATAGTTTCCCTTTAAAGAAGCCGATGCACACTTGGTCAGACCAGCAACTGCAGCAGAGAAGCTTTTCATTACAACTAAAAAACTTGTGACTTCATTCTCACTTCATGACGCCATTACTCCACTATATCTTAACGTAGCAAAAAGTTGTTTGCTGTCGTATTAATGCTCTGAATGTTTCATACAGCTCCTCTGAAGTAGATCCACAAGCACACAAATCTAAATTAGAAAAAAAATACCCATATGGAAATGTTTTATAAAAGCAAACATCATTTCCCTGAAGTAACATTCTCCAAACACCCAGAGCTCTGCTAAAAAACGCTTTTTTCCCAAACTGTAGGGGTCTGTGTAACAAAAACTCACATCTATAGTATGGTTTTAAAAGAAGAATCAGCACATCCAGATCTCCTTCTGCGTGTTAGAAAATGTCAGATGTGCATGGATAGGCAAAAACCTGACCCGCGGGATCCCCACTAAGGTGCATATCTGATGGTGTGGCGTCAATTTGGCTATGCAGATACTCGTGACTCTTGCAGATGCATCAAGCATCAAATCAAACACGTTGATGTTACTCAGGGAAGTCATCATTTTACTGTTTGTTGCCAAGAGACAGCTTGCAAATGAATTGAACTTGGCTTACTGGATCATTATGTCATAGCAAGAGTACTACTATGATAGTTAGAGGTCACAAAACTGCTCCTTGGTGCTCAGGTCCCACTCCACAACACTCATATGCCTTGTACAGGAACAATTTGAAAAGATTTTCTTAGCGTACTGTCACAACGCTTATCACAAAATATCATATCATCACAACTGTTTCCTCTCACCAGGGAGCTGAGGGCCCTCCATGGGGCTTGGGCCACCCTGAGGTCATCGAGTATACTGGAAAAGATGGAGCGTTCCTCAGCCCGGTCGATCTGCAGGGGGCTCGTTCCCAGAATCTTTACCCCATTGAGGTGCAACGGGACAGCCAGGTTGTTTGGGATCTGGCCTCCGACTGACACAATGCTTCCAGAGCAACCCTGGAGAGGAGAGAACGGAAAAAGACGAATGTGTGAGATAAAGAGAGAATAGAACAGCAGGTAAAATAAAAGAATAAAAAGTAGAAGAAAAGGACAAGAGAAGCAGGGATGCTCTGTCTAGTCTTGGACCTCCTGCCACAGGCCTATCAGCCAAGATTAACAGTCTGAAACCTGTGGCCGCTTCCAATTATTCTGGCCACTGATCACAGAGTGAAAATATGAGACAAACAAAAACAGTTGATCTCGGTCGTGCCATGAGTTTAGTTATCACCAGGGACAGTGTGTGTGAACAAGTGTGTGTGTGCTCCTTTTAATAACAGCATGCAGCCCCTTTTCCTGTCTGGCTGTTCCAGGGGGGATGCTGTTTCCATGGCAATGCCAGGTTGTATCTCTTCATTATTCATGGGCCTGCTCTCCAGCTCCTGTCCAGGGTTTATCTCCATGCTCTAATGCTGTATTTATCACACACACATAGACACATACACGGAGAGCAAGCGGGGACTGTAGCTGTGAGAGAGGGATTGATGGTAATGCTATCACCCTGAACAAACAAACACTTAATCACACTCTGATCCCATCGCGACTTTAACTGGATTACAATTCCTCTGCAAGGGAAAGTCAATGGACGTTAGTGGCCAAACACACAGCACAACATAAACACAGAGATATCAGCAAACACATACACAGAAAATATCAGGGAAGCAGGCGATATTTATGCCCTTGAGCATGTTTTGCAATAAAGGGTCAGCTGGGCTCTGTGCTACCACAGAGCTGCATTGGGCAATACGGTGGTCATTTTGCACCATTATATATATGATTTGACATACCAAGTCTGGACAAAAAAAGGTTGACTATACACTCACTAACCACTTTATTAGGTACACCTTGCTAGTACCAGGTTGGGCCCCTTTTGCCTTTAGACCTGCCTTATTTCTTAGTGGCATAGATTCAACAAGGTGCTGGAAACATTCTTCAGAGGTTTTGGTCCATATTGACATGACAGCATCACACAGTTGCTGCAGATTTATCGGCTGCACATCCACGATGCAAATCTCACGTTCCACCACATCCCAAAGGTGCTCAATCTGGTGACTGTGCGTGGTGGTGCGTTATCCTGCTGGAAGTAGCCATCAAAAGATGGGTACACTGTGGGGATGGACACGGTCAGCAACAATACTCAGGTAGGCTGTGGTGTTTAAACCATGCTCAGTTGGTACTAAGGGGCCCAAAGTGTGCCAAGAAAATATCCCCCACACCATTACACCACCACCACCAGCCTGAACCGTTGATACAAGGCAGGATGGATCTATGCTTCAAATTCTGACCCTACCATCTGAATGTTGCAGCAGAAATCCAGACTCATCAGACCAGGCAACGTTTTTCCAATCTTCTATTGTCCGATTTTGGTGAGCCTGTGTGAATTGAAGCCTCAGTTTCCTGTTGTTAGCTGACAGGAGTGACACCTGGTGTGGTCTTCTGCTGCTGTAGCCCATCTGCTTCAAGGTTCGGCGTGTTGTTGGTTCAGAGATGGTCCTCTGCAGACCTTGGTTGTAACCAGTGGTTATTTGAGTTACTGTTGCCTCTCTATCATCTTGAACCAGTCCGGCCATTCTCCTCTGACCTCTAGCATCAACAAGGCATTTTCACCCAGAGAACTGCCGCTGACTGGATATTTTCTCTTCTTCAGACCATCCTCTGTAAACCCTAGAGATGGTTGTGTGTGAAAATCCCAGTAGATCAGAAGTTTCTGAAATACTCAGACCAGCCCGTCTGGCACCAACAACCATGCAACGTTCAAAGTCACTTAAATCAGTTTTCTTCCCCATTCTGGTGCTTGCTTTGAACTTCAGTGGGTTGTCTTCACCATGTCTACATGTCTAAATGCATGGAGTTGTGAACAGGTGTACCTAATAAAGTGGCTGGTGAGTGTATACCATGGTGGCCTAATGTCAAGTTGCATATAACTCAAAGGATAATCGCCAAAATTGGTAATTGTTGCTCGCACTCGTATTATCATTACTTTAGATGGTAGAACTGTGTATTGTGATACTGTATTACAGCTTCTGTAAGTCTGCAGAAACATTATATTTCAGAATCTTTGATACCAACTGCCCAATAATTATCTTTAGAGAAGTATGTAGATGGATTTCCTACAGTTTCTGTAAATCAAAATAAACTTTTTTTTCCTCGAAGAACTTCCTCGTAACAGTCACAAAATGACGAAAAAAGCCTCACAGTGATGTAAAATGACCACCTAAAAATATATTTCCCTAGAAAGCTATTCAGCAAGCACAGCCACATCTGCTAAGAGAGTTACAAAGTGGTCAGCAAATCTTGAAAACCCAAGAAAACCCCACACACCTGTAACTACAGAAACCTAAGCTCTTAAATCTTAGGTGAGCCTTTAGAGCTGCATAATAAATGTCCCAATTAGGACTCATTAAGGGTTTTCCCAGTTTCTACACAAAAAGAAAGAGAGGTTTTGTTTGGGTGCTTTTAATAGCCAAGACCATCCTTTAGGATGAAGCAGAAAAAGCTGCATGCTTAACCCCTTTCTGAGTTTACACATATATATAAAAACCTTTATCAACATAGAGGTTTTGCTCTGTGGGAACTCCATGATAATAAGCCACAGTCACACTGCTGATTTATTTCTACTTTTCTGTACAGTCACGTCAAAACAGCTTAAGGTAGAGAAATTATGTGCAAGCTGCATGACAGTCTTAGACCAATACATGTATTTACCAGGTTTGGGCAAATATTGTTTTTTATTTAAATTCCATTGACATATCTTTCATCTGACCAGGTTGGAAATGATTGATTTCTTTTATTATATATGTACTGTATTGTGTAACCGATCAATACTACTCTGCCTAGGGGAAGTCTTAAATCGACTGCAATGCAGTACTTGAATCAGATTCTACTAATGAATATACAAGTAGTTATTAGTACTGATATAAACGTTTGACAGATTGGCAGACCTGTCCAGAATGCCCTGCTTCTCTCCCAATGCATGTTGGGATGGGCTCAGCAAGCCAGACCAGGACACTGTTAATGGTTGTAGAATATTGATAATATCAGTGTGACACCAGTGGTAGGTATAGTTTGGCAATATGACAGTATATACCCTGCAAGGGCATGGATGTATAAAGAGAACTGGATACAGCATTGGAGGCGGGGCCCTGGCCATGCCTATAGAAGTTGCTCGGTGGTGCATGAAGCCAAAAAAATTGACCTCTGCATTACCTAGATAATCCCCATCTTTGAGACAATAGATTTTGGCCATATAGTTAGTATTTTTGGTTTTCAGTGGAAATTTAAGAATTTTATTGTCTACCAATGTAAAATTCTTCCTGATAAAAAGGAAGGGTTTGCATGCGTGTCCTTACCTCCTGTTGGGTGATATCCAGGATGCGTTCCAGGGTCAGCTCCTCAAAGTAAAGACGGTCACACTCGTCAAAGTCGGTGCTGACCGTCTCAGGGTTGTGGTTCACCACCACTGTCTTCTTGCCCATCTGCCTCAAAGCTCTGATGCTGGACACCGCGCACCAGTCAAACTCAACACTGCTCCCTGATGGTACACAGTAAACAGTTGATAAATCTATGTATGTTGACCATGAACAGGGGTTTACAAAATCACTATAACAAATAGACAACTTACCAATGTGGTAGGGCCCGCAACCAAGAACCATAATTCCCTGGTCTACAAAGTCCAGGTCATGCTCCTGATGGATTGGATAAAAAGCACTGCTGATGTTGCACTCTGATGTACATCAATAATTTTATAGCACAGCAAATACACTGCTTACAATTAATACTAATGCTCTCATTTAAAAGCTCTGTATGTAACTTTCAGAAAGTCCGTGTTAGCAATGACACCTCTCTCTGAGACCACTCAGTGAACTGCAGCAAGAAAATTACAATACTGAGAATAACATTAGTATGTGCCATCTTTCTGTAAATTATATGAATCATTTTTTCAACTAACGTTATGAAGCAACCAATAGCAGGTCTATGTAGAGTGATTAGCTAAGTAATAGCTACCTGGATAACCTTCACTGCCCCAGCATTGCTTTTGGCTGGTAGAAACTTTGTACCATTACATCATTTATTATTGGCTCAATCAACGTCATAATACACAAGTTAGTATCACGCATAATGTTAGCAGGTGAAGTAAGTTGGCAAGCTAGCAAACTTACATATCCACTCTAATAGTATTTTGCTAGCAATTACATTAGCAAGCAAGAAAGGTAAAGTTAGCCAGATAGCTGTAAATGAGCTACACTGCATGGGTCTGGCATTGTTGCTTTGTAACAATAGCTGATACATTTGCGTAATTTGCAAACAGCACACTACCTCCCTGGGAGGAGATCAGTCGGTAGCTCAGAACTTAGCCACTGTAAAAACTCGAATTCAGCCCATGCTTAACCCAGCCCCAAGGTTCACAGCAAGCAGGTGGCCAGGGTAACACTTGATCTATCCTGTGTGACAGCAGCAACAGAAAGTTTATTGATCTGGCAGACCTTGTTGTGGTCAAAAGGGCAGTCCTGGATTAGACCCCTAGTGCTCGGGGTCGTGTTCTGGCTAAACTCAGGCTGAGAACTCCACTCAACTCAAGTAATGCCAATCCCTAGTAGTCCAGGGGCCAAGGGGCTAATTTTCACAAATTGGTATCACTTAAAGGGACCACACAATTTTGGTATTTTTGACTTCCTCTATGTCTCTAGTTTACATTTTGGTATGATAGACCTGCGTATCTAGTAGCTTAATAAATTTTTTTGGATGATCTTTGGGTCCTCCCCAAAATTGAAAATAGTCAAAATTGAGGGTTCTCCAAAAGGGACAGTGTCTGCCTTATCACATGAATCTCGGGAAATAATTATCAGAATGTCACCAAATTTGGACTGAATGTTCACAGACAGTTGCTGCACACAATGCAGTAAAGATTTCATCAGTACCTTGCTACTTTTAAAAAATATATACACCTAAACACACATGAATTATAGGCGGACATGGAATAAGGAATAAAAAATCCAAAAGGCATGTATATATGTGTTTGCCATTATTAATGTAAATAAGCCAATCACCCAAAAACTGCATTTATTTGTGCCAAAGAATGTCATCTTGTCATAAAAGTAGGTTATTAGATTATTCACCTCACCATCTTAGGAATGAGGACACACCCTGCCCTACACCATACTCTTGGGATAATTTGTTTCTCCCAAACTATTCTTAGCTGTTTCCACAAAAATGTAAGAATATCAGGTGCACCTTTATAAACCTGGTAGGGGACTCCGTTAGGCCCTGGGGCCGAAGAAGCCTTTGCATGCCTAACCACCTCCTGAACTTCCTTCCACCTAGGTGGTCTGACATCCATCTCATGCTCTATTTCTCCTAATGGACGGATATCCGGTGGAAAACCTACTATCCTACTCTTCTCTAAATCTGAATATGTATTTCTCAATATTCTTCAAACTCTAGCCTTTCTGCTTTAAGCTGCCCTCCCCTTTCCTGGCTGAACAATCCTTTAACAAACTTAAAAGGGTCCCTGAAAACACCTGTCCTAGCATATTCCTTCTTACTCTTTTTCCTGAGATGCTCTGCCCTTCTAAGAACTGCTAGCCTGCTTCTCAACTCCTCTTGCAACACCTTAATTCCCTCCCTTTCATCTTCTGTAGCCTTTTTCCACTATTCCACTATTCCTTAACTGTCTCCTCTCCTTAACTAACTTCTCTATTTATCTTTGCCACCTAGACTTACCTGACAGTACCCTCTCACCCCTCTTTCTCTCATGCGCCCCAAGCCTCTCTGCACCATATGAGTAAATTATATCTCACATCTTTTTTAACCTTTTCGATTGCATTTCCTCTAAGCCTGCTTAAGATTACTGAGAAATCTTTATTAACTATCTCCCATTCTTTACTGTCATTTGCCCTAGGCCTAACTCTAACCTTTTGCTCCATGGTTCTCTCTCTGACTGGCAAACTGACCTCAGTGTCACCTGCATCCTCTCTTACCACCCCCTCCTCCTCCTCAGTGGCAGCGTTACTGATATACTTCTACCTGTCGCTGGACTTCATCCGACTGACTTGACTGACTTCTTAGGAAATACTGATCAAGGATTTTTTTAAAATTTGAGAGGTCATTTACACGTACACGGTGATTTTGATAAACGGAGACATCTTCCTTTGTTTGTGCCCTTCATTTACATGCAAACGGAGATTTCTCCTCTGAAAACGAGTCTTTCTAAAAACTCCGGCCAGAGTGGAGATTTTGGAAAACTCCAGTTGCGCATTTGCAAGATAGACGGAGTTATAGGCAGCCGACGTCACAGTCTCCACAGTATGAATGCGCTGGAACTTGCGCCTGTGTCAAAAGTGCGACCTATGTTGCTATGGTGACAATGGATACATGGAAGGCTTGAGCTTCTCGTTACACTGCCACCTACAGGTTTGGCATGCTCTTGTGTATATATACACGGGTAAGTGTAAACGAAGAATTTTTTGAAAACGGAGACGGTAGCAAAAGGACTCCCGCACACTGTCCAACTTGCAATAAATCATTTATTTTGCGACGTTTCGGTACTAGACCTTCATCAGGCAAACAGTTTTTTGTTCATGAGAAGCCATCTTAAATAGGGAGTGGTCGTTTCTCCACGACCAATCCCATTCCCACGCGTAAACACAGAGGGACAAAATCATCATCGGGTAATTTAACCACACAACACAAAGAGACAGTAAATAAACAACAAAACACTTTGTGTGACATCAGTCTAAAGTAATCCCCACATGTCCAGAAGAGAAATACATAATATAGTGAATCAATTATAAATAAATCAGTATTTCAAAATATTTTTTAGCAGATAGGTTTACATTCTAAGTTAAAAACAGACATATTTAATGAACAAATCTCCATATCTAGTATCTAGCTCCTAAATATATTTCTGTGATCATATACTGAATGCTGTGTTGAAACATGGATCTTGTTTTGTTGTTTATTTACTGTCTCTTTGTGTTGTGTGGTTAAATTACCCAATGATGATTTTGTCCCTCTGTGTTTACGCGTGGGAATGGGATTGGTCGTGGAGAAACGACCACTCCCTATTTAAGATGGCTTCTCATGAACAAAAAGCTGTTTGCCTGATGAAGGTCTAGTACCGAAACATCGCAAATAAATGATTTATTGCAAGTTGGACAGTGTGCGGGAGTCCTTTTGCTACTTTTTGTTTTTCTTTCTCCAACGCACCTGTCTTGTTTTATAGATGTGTGAAGTGCATCCTTTGTTCGAAAACGGAGACGGTGAAATGTCCGTTTATGAAAATAACCGGCAACGTGTAAATGGCCTCTTATATACTTTATTAATCCCCGAGGGGAAATTCAATTTTTCACTCTGTTGTCAATTACACACAGGTCCGAACACACACATGCAGGACCTATACATGCGCTAAGTGGAGAGATGTCAGAGTGGGGTTGCCCATGACAGGCGCTCCGAGCGGTTGGGGGGTTCGGTGCCTTGTTCAAGGGCACCTCGGCAGTGCCCAGGAGGTGAACTGGCCCCTCTCCAGCTACCAGTCCACACTCCATATTTTGGTCCTGACGGGGACTTGAACAGGCAACCCTGTCCCTATGGACTGAGCTACTGCTGCCTCAGCAGGTAGGCCCCCCTATTTTAGGACGGCATACAATGGAGAAATAAGGCATCTCTTTCCCTCTGCTAGCCTGGGAGTCCACCTTAGGCAAGAGGTAGAACTCCCTTTGCTTCCTAGTTATGGGTCAAATAGCAACTGGGCAGCTCTGAGTGCTATTAGGCCTACTGTAGGCTACAGTAACACTGAGTGTTAGCACAGTAACTGCGTAATCAATTTCCCCTCCTTGTGATTGTCTTCATTAACAAAATTGGTGCATATTTAAATAAAATATTTCAGAAAATTTGTAATACAAAAAATACTTAATATGAGTGATCAACTGGGCAAGTTTCATGGGGATATCTATTAGTTAATTTTTTACCCTATTTGTAGTGTTTTGCCTACACGGGTGTAAGTTTGTTTACAGAGTGATAACTGTAATTAAGCTACTAGATAGGCAGGGCTATCATACCAAAATATAAACTAGAGACCTGTAGAGAGATAAAAATGCCAAAATTGTTTGGTCCCCGTGGGTGATAGGGGCCTACCAAGTTGTGAAAACTATCCCTTTAGCCCCTGTACTAATAGGGCCCCATTCTATTTGTCTGTTTGAAGTTCTGGCTGCACTAGTTACCTGTCAGGGGCTGGTGACATCAGATGGTGAGGTGAATAATCTAATAACCACTTTTATGACAAGATGACATTCTTTGGCACATATAAATGCAGTTTTTGGGTGATTGGCTTATTTACATTAATAATGGCAAACAAATATATACATGCCTTTTGGATTTTTTATTCCTTATTCCATGTCCGCCTATAATTCATGTGTGTTTAGGTGTATATATTTTTTAAAAGGAGCAAGGTACTGATGAAATCTTTACTGCATTGTGTGCAGCAACTGTCTGTGAACATTCAGTCCAAATTTGGTGACATTCTGATAATTATTTCCCAAGATTCATGTGATAAAACAGACACTGTCCCTTTTGGAGAAACCTAAATTTTGACTATTTTCAATTTTGGGGAGGACCCAAAGATCATCCAAAAAAATTATTAAGCTACTAGATAGGCAGGTCTATCATACCAAAATGTAAACTAGAGATATAGAGGAAGTCAAAAATACCAAAATTGTGTGGTCCCTTTAAGTGATACCAAAATCTGCCTTGGCCCCTGGACTATAGTGTGGACTCTGTGTTGTGGTAGTTGACATTAGCGGACTCCATTTATTTCCAAATGTTAGCTACTGTAGCACACTGTGTTGTGGAGCTGAAGAGGCAAGAAACTCTGGAACATGCATAATATCACATCCTTTGAATTTTCCTATTAAATTAAGTCAGAGCCCATTACACAGAAATCAGTCCACAGGCTGTTACAAGCAACCAAGAAAGTCAGGGAAAGTCTGAGTTTTTAAGTTACTTTACAACCAGTTCACCAATTGGCACTAAAAACACGATTAATACATGTAAAAAAGTTACATACAGAACCTTTAAAATGTTTTGTTCATAACAATTTAAAATGTTATTGTTATACTAATTGCATTTGCTATTAGCCAGTGACTGGATTGACTACATACATCTTAATGGTGCTACAACACTACAATATTTTTTTATTTTCTCAGTTAGCAGAGACCACACACCTGCCCATGATAGGTACAATACAGGTAGTTGGTCATTGCTGGATACTCTGCTGCCAAGGTGTCAATCTAAGGGGAGGGATCAGAGAAAACAGAGGTTAACATGGGTCTGATGTAAAAACAAATACTACAAAAAACTACAAAATAACGTTACTTAACAGTTTTATCATGAATATTACTATCACATTCAAAACGCACACAGACCCCCGTCACATTTATTGGTTAGTGCACTGATACCGTAGTTTAACTCTCTGAAAGGAGAAATTCTACATCAAGGTACATTTACATTTGATACTTTTGTCTAATTCTTTTCTAATTCCTATTCACTTTAATAAATGTTTACTTGCAATGAATGTATTCCATTGGTGTGTTACTACTTTTAATTAAAGGATAAACACATTCAACAAAAAGACCAAAACCTTGACTTTAATTACGCTACTTAAAAGTATTGCCTCTGTAACCAGCCTGATGTGGCTCTACTCCTTCTTACCAAATAGTCAAAAAACAGTTTCAAAATAGTTCCTGAGGATAAGGTCAATGAATTGTGGATAAAAATAAAGAGATAAAATCATGCAAATGTTATCATTGGAGTAAATTATCTAAAAAATAGTGTTAATTCTACAAAGTGTCAGTGCTGATTGCCATTTGTATTACTTTGAGCTCTGCATGTTTTGACTCACAGTGTTGCGTATGAATAACACCCTCAAAGAGTGCCTTCATTGAACATGCTCTTTTTTTTTTTTTTTTTTTTTTTTAAGATATTTTTTGGGCATTTTTATCCTTTATTTGACAGGACAGACAAGCGTGAAGGGGGGAGACAGAGAGGGAGTGACATGCAGCAAAGGGCCACAGACTGGAGTCGAACCCGGGCTGCTGCAGCAACAGCCTTGTACATGGGGCACCTGCTCTACCACTAAGCCACCGACGCCCTGAACATGCTCATTTTTTTGGTGAATGGTAAACTAAATGCATCAGTTTGCAACTTATGAACTTGAACATGACCGACGTTTGCCCTCGTAGCAGTTAGCGATGCCAGTTTTATGGCATCCAGAATGCTTACACAACACAGGCAGACATGCAGCTATCAGTACTGCAAAGTCAGAACATCAGCCACATCTGTATTAACACAGTATTAAGATATTAACGCAAACTAGCTAAGTTTTTGAGACTGAACTTAGTTCACACTTCAAATTGTGAACTATGAATGTGGACTGGTTTATTTTAATCTGTGAACTGAACTTTGAACTTGTTCTTGTGAAGCACGAATGAGGAAATACACTCTGAACAAAACATGTCAATACTGTATAAAATGGAAAGTAGTCGATGATGGCTTTAACCTTTACGCCCCCCTACATATTTTCATACTCTTTTACATTTACACTTGTTGCTGAAGGAAACTAGACTGTGTAAGTGAATGTATTGATTAGGCAGAGTCAGGTATCTCAGTCTATCTGACCTACGCTGGAAGCTCCAAGAAGGAGCTCAGTAAGGCTCACCTGTTTGACCCATGGTCTGATGCCGTGACTGTGCCTCAGCTCTCTGGCTCCTCTCTCATTGGAGCCCAGTATCTGACCAAGCTGCCGGTCTGAGAAGCCGTCCTGCTTGGCCTTCAGCAGCAGCTCCTTGGGTACTATGGTACTGTAGGAGAAGACATAAGTGATGTTAATTATACAGCTGCTTTGCTAAACCATTCTGAGCAGATACTTTGCCCACAGTTTGAAATTGATTAAATGGATATTCAATTTTTTAAATGCATAATCCAGGTTTTCAGTGGGGTTCAATTAAATGATTTCTTAAAGGACTTTTTTAAAAGGAGTGAATTTGACTGGGGCTCCTTTCAGACATGCAGTTTATCCCACAAATGTTAAAAAAACATTAACTCCAAAAGGTCATGTTTAAATGAAAGCAGCAATCAATGTTCAGGTAACTCTGTACAGTACCACCAATTTCCCACATCACAACCTAGTAACATTTTAGGTAAATACCATGTATGGCTGTTTTGTGAATGAATGCAGTACCATTGCAGGGACGAGCACAAAAAGGGTTGTGTCCATCTGACAAAGGCAATTTCACATGGAGCAAGCAAACCAATCACAAGACTGCTGATGATGTATTTTATCAGTTTAACAGTTTAGTAGTTACACCAGGGGCTGTATTCACAAAGCCTCCTAGCACAAAGAGTTGTTCCTAGTGACGAAAGTCTAAGAAAAGTCTTAGAATTCTGAAGTTTTCTAAGTTAATACAATATCCTTAAAGTTAAGAGTAGATCCCGGTAAAGATAAAAGTTATTCACAAAGTAACTTAGCCCTTAAGAGAGCTCCAAAGGGGAAAAACTGTTAGGAGCTGGAAGGAGGACTTTTAAGAGGTTCTTAAGCAGAGGAGAAAATGACAGAAAGACAAAGGTAGAAGAAATATTCTCCAAACAATGACTGACAGTCACAGACCCAACACAATAGTGCTGTAATGCTAGAAATTAAATAATCATAACCCTAGGATATTTTGAAACTGGAAAAACCCAACAGTCCAGCAGGAATGACTTGTGGCTGCCTCAACCTTCCATCAGCAGTGATAACAATGACAATACGTTCAAAGCCTCATATTGTGATGCAGTTCATTTAATGTCCACTAGGGGTCCACAGCGTGAAGGCTCACAAAAGGGTGCATCTGTAACAACCGATCACATCTCGTGAAATATCATGCCAAGCAACAGAGTCAGCTATGCTGTATCAGAGTTTCTGTCCCTTCATTGCTCAGAGTTCCTTTGAGAACTGTACCAGACACAAACAGCTCCTCGCCTGTGATGCTCCTGAAAATATTAAGAGACATACGCGTGCATCAGGCCTAACTCCATCTTCTTGTTCTATCTTCTTCTGTGGAGTTTTATGGCAATGTCTCTAATAAGTGTTGCATTACTGCCATCTGCTGGACTGTCTCTTAACCCATCTATACCGGCATTGCCATGGCAAATGTGAAAAGACGCAAGATAGAAATGTTCTTGAATGTATTGCATATGTGAAGAGTGAAAATCACTAATGGGGCCTTGAAAAAGGGTCATTGCAAAAAACACAACACTCCATTTGAACCAGAACAACAGCACTCTTGTCAATTTTTGCCATAACTAAAGCTTCCTTTATGCCATAAGAAAAGCACAAGATTTACTATCTGATTCATTCCGGTACCACACTATGTCACCTGGAACACAGAGGTAAGCAGAGTCTGTCAATCATGTCTTAAGCTTAAAAGTTGAATGCACAATATGCCTGACATGAATGTGGCAGCGAGGAAAAAGAAGCAGAGGTAGATAAAAAGACAGACAGGTTAGTTTATTACTGAATATTTTCTGTCTGTGGCCTCTCTCGTATATCTGTGTATTTTCAAGTTCACTGAACTAAGAGGGTCATTCCAGCAAGTTGGTCATGACTGGCTCACCTACCCAGCGATGTGGACAGCGGGGAGCAGCCCACCTCAGAGTGATCAATAACACATTGACAAGCAAAGCGCCGAGGTTAAAACCCACTTTAATCAATAAAACTTTAATGTTAGCCGTAAGGTTAAGCAGAAAAAAGGTGGCGGAAATAAAGTCAGTAATTAGGAGGCGATTCTGAACTGGACCAATTTGTAAGGAACATAAATTTGCTTCCTACTTGAATTCAAAGCATTTTGGACCTGCAGCATTTCCATCTTCTTTAGTGGTCTTGCATGTATCATTACAGTATGTAATACTCATGCCTCATTCCCACACAGTTTTGTGTCCATATTTCCATATAGTATATGGAGTAAGCCCCCAGTGTTCAACGCAAGGAAATGCATCTCATTACAGATGGTTAAGAACATCTGGAATATGCATATGGAGCAGTACAGAGAAAATCACAGGTCTAACACTACATGGCAACAAGTAAGTGGAAAGGTTTGCCTTTCAGGTGTGAAGTCAGCTTGGTGAAATATTTTGTTAAAAGATGGATGATCTAGGTATGGGCATGAGTCCCCAAGTACTCATTTGGATGTCAGTGTTCACTCAATGTTTGGAGTGCTCGCCACTGTTCCTCCCGCATGTGAACATGACTTTTATATTTGTTTTTTTATTATTTATAACAGGTAAAATCTTATTTAATTGTAGATGCGGTGTATTGTGTGACCTTTTAATGGCAGAGTCGAGTTGTTTTGGTGTGTTTGTTGGGACCATTAAACAGCTCGATGTCAGATGTTAGCCACTGCTACTGTGTTAGCTGGTGCTAAAGGGTAGACAGTGAACTGACTCTGGGGAGAGTGGCTCAGAGACAAACTCCTCCAGTGCTGCGTCTAACCTATGTAACATTGAAGAGGCAACAGATAGCATATTTTCCTAAATATATCATTATGAAAATAATGTGGGTTGCACAGTAAAATCAGATTATCAGCATTTACATAGGTTACTTAGTGGCTTTGCAATCTTTGTAATAAGCTTCTGCCACCGATGCCGAAATTTCGTGGAAAAAATCTGCTTTAAGGCAGGAAATGCGCCATGTATTGCAAAACTGGTCGGTCAGCCAATCAGGGAGCGAGTCCTTATGAGGAGTTAGGCATGAGATAGTTGAGTCACGAGCACAATCCCAGACGGAGAGAGTTTGGAGACAAGTGAAAAACGGCCTAGTGAAAATGAGCTCCTCTGTCTGAGGAGGCAAAGAAGAGCAAAAAGGAGAGTGATAAAAGCAGAGGAAAAACAAGCGTAAACCTCAGTGAGGCGTTCAAGAGATGGAGGGAGCTCCATGACCAAAGAGGCTTCAAAACCGATGTCCAGCTAGCTTTCTTTCTAATGGATCAGTAAGTAACACAGCTAAATGTTAGCTAGCTGAGAGAGGACTGTACTGTACTGGCTGCTAGTTAATTCCTAGCTGGCCAGCATCGCAAATCGCCGCAACCAGGGACCGGGTAGCGAGTGTTGCTCGGCTGACATCCTCGTTGCCATTCTACGGCAGCCCTCGGAGAGTGATACCCTCCTGCCTTCCTTCTGTTCTCTTCTCACGGAGGCAGCTTTCGACGGACATCGCCCAGCTAAGTTACGCCCAGCTAAGTGAACACTGGACTTTGTTTCCCATTCAATTTGAGCTCCAACCGGCCGCATCGTTTCCATACGGTACCGTTTATTCTAGAATCTGGACTGTTCCACTGTGTCTACTGTTGTTGTTGTACTGATAGTGTACATATTGGTGGAATTTACTGTGAGTTGTTTGTACTGGTACTGTGCATTCTGGTATAATTATTTGCATTACTATTTGTTTTTTCTTCAGATAAATCTGATAATTGTTGCTCGGTCTCTTTACTCATTTATTTAGTATAGTGTCCACACACATTCTCATTCTACATATACATAGAGGTATACCGGTGGCTTTACAGCCTACATTTTATTTAATTTAGAGAGTCTAATAGAGTCATATTATTGATTATCTCTGATCCCCACGGTCAATTTGGTCGTTGCGACAGTGCGACACAACACCACTTACGCTAGGTGGCACCAAGCTAAAAAAAACCGAATCCTATCTGTTGCCTCTTTAACGGCAGCGACCGAAAGGTGACGGATCTTTCTCATGATGACTGTTAATTGGTTTAATCAAACAAAGTGAAGCCTGGTTGTTTAATAAATGAATTCAGAACTGTACTTGTTTTCTGTTGCTGGCCAGCTTACATTCCACTTAAACTTTTTCAACGTACTTGAGGCAAATTCAGAACCAAAAAAATAAAAAATAAATGAAATAAATAAAAAAAGGAGAAGTTTCACAGAGGTTCCCATAGGAATGAATGAACTTACAAGGACAAGGACTTACAGTGGAGCTTGTTGGTTACCCTTTTATCTACCTACAAAGAATGGGGCAGGGACAGTATGAGGTAGGCACAAGAGGAGGGTGAGAAAGATGTGTAGAGGAGGAGAAATTTTTAAGAATCCTCAAATGATATATTTCAGATAAAATGAAGTATGATGTTATCAATTTAAATAAATGTATGTGATTATGGACATTTAAATGCCACCTGTAATGACCTCTGACGACCCTGATTTCCTTCCATATAGAGGAAACTTGTATCCTTTTCTGTCAGAGCTGCTTTTCATATCTGTTGAATGGGAAGACACTATTATCTGTCTGTCTTCATTTGACCTTTTTACTGAATAACAAGCGCGCATCCTGAGAAAACAAAACAAAATCCAGTCAACATGGACATCTAACTGTAAGGTTTACATAAAACTGAAAGGATCACCGGAAGAAGCCAAGGTTTTGGTCATCAAAGACATCACTGAACTGGACAAATATTGCAGTTAAAAACTCAGACAGATGATACAAGCAATGACACAACTCATCCAATGAACTGACCCCATGACAAGTACTGATCCACCACCATCACCCTTAATGGAGCATGAATACCTGGGACTAAAAACATTTGAATACACAGAGCACAAATCACAAGATTTAGAATATGAAATTGATCCTGAAAACAATTTCTACGTCAGCATCCATAATCACTGTTGTGAATACTTTACAGACGAACAATTCAATCAGAACATAATAATGGATGGAACAATATCAATTATACATTTCAACAGTAGGAGCCTCAATTCTAACTATTCCAAGATCAAAGCCTGCTTAGCACAGTTTAACAAAAACTTTACA